AAATAAAATAAATAAACAGGGTAGAGCATGTTAAGAAACGGGGGAGATAGACCTTGTCTGGAGATATCCGTCCGTTATATATAGAAAGCGAGAGATCAGCCATTCTCCACGAAGGATGGAAATGGGATACGATCTGGAGTTCGTTCGGGATCTCAAGGGCCCACCAATTTAGGGACCGGATTTTAGTGTACGTACTACTACGGTGCTGGATACTCGACTCGCAGCGCTGAGCTGTGTCGTTAGACCGCTGCACATGGAAAGGTTTCAGATCACTTTAGATGCACTATCTCTATGCCAAAAACAAGGTGTATTGTTTGTGACGCTTCAAACCCTGAGACGACAATGCTGATGCTATCTTTCATCCGCGCAGCTGCCCAGACTCCATCATCGCTTCTGTCCGTGAAACGTTTGTATGGGGCGTTTCGTGTATGTCCATCTTGAATGGCATACTCCAGATTAGATTCCAGGATGATGGCGCATTGTATAGACCCTGACGCTTTCTTAAACATGACGACGCACTTCAATCCCTCATACAGAAGTTCCAGGGTGGCAAAGTCTCCAGAAGAAACTGGCATTCTGTGATATCTGAGATGGCACATGCTAACTAGGTCAATCATCGTCGGGTATATCTGGGCGCTCCTGTCCCGACTCCCAGCTTTGTATCCATCCCTTTAGTCGTTTCGGGGATCTAGGTTGGTCCGGGAGCGTTTCATTGAACGTTCGGACCTTGTATGGAGGAACCTTGAACCCGTACGCAGCATACCGGGCCGAGTCAGATTCACAGCCTTTCCGTTACACCTGGCACTGGAGCTTGTTATACAGCACGCGTGAAGCCACAATCTCCTCTATCTCCTGTTCGTCCTCGTTGTATATATCGATCTCCTCTAACGCAGTAGCAGTAGCAATTTAGAAATCAGGTTCAAAATCTTACATGCAGCAATCTAGTAGTGCCGCTTCAAACAGAAACAAAACAAGCTGTAGGCAGACTTCCAAGGACGAGGACATACTAGTAAACTGAGCGCGGAGTGACGTGAAGTGTGCTCATCGGAAGCAGTGTGGATGCTTGTACTGCTTTCCGAGGCATGTTTAATATACCACGTGAGACAGCTGAGACTTCTTGATTGAAAGAAAGAACTCATAAATTGAGACTTATCATGTGCAGGGAGTTTCCACGTCTCCCTAGGGTCGTTTCAGGGTACTTGACAATCACATGACAGCCTTGTCATTGCTTTTCCATATAAACAAGTAACGTAGCCCATGTTATGATCAAACCTGACCATCTCCATGTTACCCTACAATAATCCTTAAAATATCAAGACCCAGTCTTCTAAACTACAAGAAGACATGACTTGTCCAGCCCCGCCCGCCACCAGTCGCTATGGGCCCGACCCCAATAGCCACCCTGACCAAAAAGAATTATCCAACATTATCAGTAACCTAGACTCCGGCTCTGACGGCAACGCTCCCTTTGTTATTGGTACCGATGGTGTTCTCCGAACTCTGACACCAGACTGCGACGTGATAGACGCTATTGGTCTTCCACCCCGATTGATCAAAGCTTTTCTCGATCGAACCACATTTGACCAGGGGATAGAAGATATGTTTCGCGGAGCGGATGGAACGAAAGTATCCCAGAGACAATGGTGGAAGCCAGATCCATCGTTGTTACCGCCGCCGATGACGGCAGAGGAAAAAGCACAGGCCGAAAAGGACTATGAGGAGAATAAGGAAATAATTCAGGAGAATATTAGGAAAATGGAAAGTGGTGAGCTGAAACCATGCGGGGTTATTATTCGGTCGGATTATGATATCAGTCCTAGGTAGAGAGGGGTTTCTACCTATTTTTGTCGCAATGATTCATGATATTGTATAAGATTATAATACTGGGGGAATAGGCCCTGGCTTCGTGGATCATGAACGGTGTGATTTGCTGTGGAGGATCGCCCGTGGTACTTACTGCCTTTCTAGCGTACTAGACATTCTAATATGGGAGTTTTACTTGATGCAGCAGGTATCGACCCATGCGTACTCTAGATTGTCCGCAAGCGCTTGTTCACAACATTTCTGGATTTTCTGGCATCCTCGCTTGTAGCGTGCTTCTAACGAGTGGACCTCTTGGGAGGATACTTCTTCCGACGACCATGTGTCGATAGAATCGCATAGGGAGGGATATCATGTACGGATTCGGTCAATTGCAGTGTGCGGGTATTCAATAGTCGCATATTCGAATAAGAGTATGGGCCTTTCTCATTCGTCCAGTCATTGTGGAACTGTGGAACAGTAGGGAATCCACCGTGAGGTAGATGGTGGGCTTTTGTTAGGTTGCCAGCTCACAATGAAGGGTCGAGGCGAAGCTGCATAAATGCAGCCTTATGACAACACCTTCCAGTCAGCGCGGATCTCGTGTTTTATGTGAACCTGTAATATTGGCTGCTGGTTTCAACTTTTTGAAGTAGTCCAGTATAAGTAAGGCATGACCAAGCCTGAGTATAAAATCATCTCGCTGTCTCGAATAGAGGATACTATCTAGTATAGGGCCAAACCCCCAAGACCTCCTCAAACCTCACCTCCAACCACACAGCCTACCATAGAAATCCCCAAGCTCTCCAGCCTTGATGCGCCGGTGTTACAAAAGCTGAAAGGTGAATGCTGCCCATAACAACGTAGCGAATCACACCTTGCAAGAACAACAACAACAACAGGCTCTTTTCTCCGGCCGAGGATAAAACCATGGCAGTCTTTTGTTGGCCTGCAAAATCCAGCAGCCGCTATACCAATAATCTGCCTTTCTCATGTATGCTCTACCCTCCAAGAGCGATCTATTCCGTTGAGTTAAATCATTAAGTGGGAACATTGTGTCTTGCTCGAATTGCGAGTGAATATCGGTTTTTGATATAGTTATCTCATGCTTTTGGAGTGTGAGTTGCATATGTCTTGTCCATCGAATATCTGCAGGATCAAGACCCGGACCTAATTCAACCCATTTGGTTATAATAAGGGCGACACCTTCAGTACCACAGCCAGTAGCATCGATTTGATACTCCAATCCGCAGGAAACACAATAATATGTTTCCAACCTAGATGGCCGTCCAGGTCCAGAGTTGATATTGGTATCCCAAACGGCACGGACAATCTGGGCAATATAGTCCTCCTGCATAGAAATATGCATGCAGATAAATATACGCTTTAGAGCTGCGGAAGGAAATTCTTTTGCTAATATCCAAGTTTGGATACGAAGACAAAGACTCGACGCTCGAATAATCTGCGCGTCGACTGATAGTAATATAGTAAGGGACTTCTGTAATGGCTGGATCTCAACATAAGCCAATGAGTCTGTTGATATACCGTGTGCAGGGCTGCAATGATGTCGTTTCATTGCTAGTTGCAGATGGATATATTGAAATCGATACAGTGAGGTCCATTGTATACAGAATGGATGCCACCAAGCAGGAGAAGGACATGTATGCTTGGCTAGCCATCTTCTAGGCCACCACGCTGGACCGGGAGGTTGAATATATTCCCGGCAATGTAACACTGAACATATATGACAATAAATATAATTTGTAGATCTCGACTCAGTGTTGTTAGAAAAACAGATCGGAATTCTTTCTCTAACCGAAGCTGAGAACCGTTTCCTAAGATATATAGTAGTCGATGGTTACAGAGAGCCAGACACGCTCTATAGTACGGGAGAAGAAGGTCAGCGATAAGGTAAACCAGCTCTGTTGGTATATAGTCAAGATTTGGGCCCCTGTAGCTTAATATCTCTATAGGCTGAGGACGCCAGTAGGACGACAACCAAGTAAGAAGACCTCTGCCGATAACCATTGTGTTAGAATCCGTGCAACTGCAAGACTAGAGAATGTTAAAAAGAGAAAAGGAAAACAGAACAAGATGTGAGGTGGGTATGGAAGTCATCCAGCACTTTACTCACGTCATTTATCATTCCTACCATGGATCTTGGGGGCAAGCACGCATAACGATGACCTTTGCTAGAAAAGCCTCAGGCCCCTTATTTCACATTCTCAGGATATACGCTTTATACTCTTATGCAACAGACCAGCAGCATGTGCTCATCTCAGAGTATGAGCACTCACAGTCAAAGAAGCAAATATTCAGGGATGCTTCTCCTCCACCATATTAAATCCAGACGTAGTCCGCGCCTCAGACGCCTGCTTTTCAGTTTTATCTCTTATATCTATTGGTTGTTAGACCCTATCTACTGTTCTGTATGACGGAGAGCCCCTCCAGAGCTGCCTTCCGTTTTGGAAACCGATATGAGGGCAAGAGGCGTGCAACCTGTACTCAAGAAAAGGAAGGAACGAACGAGTGTGTGTATCCTGTTATTTCTACAATCATTTTGCATGATGTTCTCTCTTCTCTTTATCCTCGGCTATCTTTGTCTTTTTTCTTCTTGAAACCAGACACAATAATGACCGGAGCGGATATCAATGCTATTTTAGGCACCATCGGTACGTAGGTATCGGCCTTATGGCCCCTACTCGCGTACCTCTGGAGAACAGGAATTCAATTCACTGGGTGGGCCTCTGCATCTGCAGACCCAGCTTCTCAAAATGACCATTCTTGCGAACTTACCAAGGACGAGGTCAAAGATCTCGTCCGTCGGATTGATAGGTTGGCAGAGGTACTCGAGAGGCAAAACATCAACAGAGGCAACCCATTGATCGAGGGTGGACCCACTCGCTCTGGCTCCCCAGCCAGTTCAGTGCACTATTCCATCTCTCAGAGCAGGTCCTCTAACATCCACCAAGTTTAGTGGTAACACTGAACCTTGGTGGCCCTGTGGTAGTCATGGCCCCGCGCTACCACAGTGGCACCAGCGACAAGCTCGCACTTCTACGTAGTGTTGGCGACTAGTAGTCCTTTTGGGCGAAGCTCAGACAAGCTTATCTCTTGACCGGGTGAACTTAGATTCGTGGCTGAGGCTAGGCCTAGGTCTAGTAAGAAGAGATAGGTGAGAAAATAGGATCCTGTAACAGGGCGGTTGTTGGGTTTTCAGCTGTTTTATAGTCAGGGATCTGAGATTAAGAAGAGTATTGTTTCTGGGAGATTGAGGGAAGGATATTTTGGAGGATGAAGATGTGGATGGTTTTGTACCTAGACAGGCCAGATGGTTGTCATGACACATATATACTGTAGTGGCAGAAGGATATAAGGATTATAACAGGAGTCTCACTTACATCAGTCGAACAATGCACCGGTAGTTTGCGCTTATGAATATCCGTGCTCTTTATTCACCTCATTATATTCAGACTTGCGTATACTAAATAGAAAGAAAAGAGATTTGACTCATTCTACACCTCTCTGTCCCCCCCCTTTGGCTTTCCTTGTACTAAACCACTTTTTGATATCCCTTATGCCATGCAGATAGAGCCACGAGAAAGCATAAACGGCAGCAAAGTTAAACATGACAAATGCCCAAAAGATGCCCTGTGATAAGCAGAAGCGTCAGCTTCACTGGGAGCTATGGAGAAGGAATAAGTGGAAGTAGAGAAAATCATCGACTTACATAGGCTCTCCACTTATGAGAGTAATATACATTGAAGGTTTTGGCGGCCTTGTAGATAACTCAGTATATGTGGCATGTCAAAGAGCTCGAGAGCAAGGGACAGGACTTACAAAAGTATCTCCATCCGAGTACGGGCAGTAGGAGCAAAGGCCATTCCCCGCATCCTGTACATAGCCTCCAGCTTGCTGCGCAAAGGAACCGGCATAGCTTTGGCAAGTCTCTCCTGGCGGCGGGCTGAAGTGTGACTCTTCTCTCGAGACGCATTGCAACGAGACATTATGCGTTACGACACCAAGGAGGCCTTCCAGGAGGTAGTGGAAAGGGGTGAGCCAGTACATCCAAGACCTCCAGAAGGGGATCAGAGCCATGTACGGGACAACGACTCCGCAGAAGGATACGACAAATATAAAGAAACAAGGGACGAGGAGGGAGGCGAAGAGTTCGTTGGGTGCCAGCGCGGCGATGAACTGGCCGAATCCCACATAGAACATCTCGAAGAGCATGAGAAACATCCAGACATAGCCTGAAGTGAATGAGTCCCGGGGGAACCAGACGCCCCAGTACCTGTTATCTAAATGAGCACCCGTATACTTTGGCTAGGAAACAGAGTGCTATACTTACCAGCAGTTGAAGTAGATGGTGCCGGCAACGATTGAGTACGGGAGTTCGGGGAGAATAGCACTAGTCACAAATGCAACCCATGAGTATACCTTGGAATTTGCCTCGCGGGATTCGTATAGATTCCGGAAATGGAGGAACCGTGGCTGCAGTTGCTGGATTAGTGGTGGCGCTATAGTGAGCGTCATAAATATAGAAAACAATCGAGATTGCATGTCAATATAGCTGTTTCCTAAATGCCAGAAAGTGAAAGTGTTGAATAAACCAGTAAATATGTGTAGAAGAAACTTCCCCTATGGAACTGGTTAGGAATCTGTAAGGGGGAAGAGTGTTAATGTCCACATACGAGAATGTATTCAGGAGATCTCCAGTAAGCAACAAAGGCACGTTTTGTCACTGCTAGTACCTGCACGCCGATAGGCATAGCATACTCGCGGCGGTCGTCATCATTGTCTTCTGCACTCTTATTGCGCCGTGATTGAATAATACTCTCAATTTCCTCTGTCAATTGCTTGTTCTCTGAGCTTCTGGCCCAGACTTCCGACCAATCTTGGCCTTTATACTCAGGATTCCCTGCACCGATAACCTCGAGCATGTACTGGATGTATGTTAATTTGAAAGCAAGTTATTCCATAGCAAATTATTGGGTACAATACCTCTGCAGGATTTGCGTGGGGTGGGCACTTCTTGCCACCGTTCCGCTCGAAGTAACTGATGAGTTTGCTAGAATCGTGCCCTAGCTCGCCATTATAGACAACCTTGCCCCCACTTTGTAGCAGTAATAGGTCGTCAAAGTGCTCGAACAGCACAGCAGAAGGCTGGTGGATCGTACACAGAATTGCTTGACCAGCATCTGCAAGCCGTCGAAGGAAGCGCACAATATTGAAGGCGGCTAGAGAATCAAGACCAGAGGTCGGTTCGTCCAGAAAAAGCAACAACTGCGGTTTACTGGCCAGCTCAACGGCTATGGTCAGTCGCTTACGCTGTTCTTCACTCAATCCAATGCCCCCAGAGCCAACTGTAGCACCGGCAATTGATCGCATTTCTAGGAGGTCGAGTATCTTCTCGCAATAGTCGTATTTCTCTTGAATGGGTACTTCTTTAGGCTGGCGAAGAAGTGCTGAGAACCGCAGGGATTCTCTGACGGTAGCTGTAGGCTCATGGATGTCCATCTGCTCGGCAAACCCAGTTGCTCTCTGGAAGCTCCTTGGGAGAGGTCTGAGAGAGAAAACGAGTTAGATTAGAAGAGAAGCAGTGTGTATAGTACCGACCTCCCATCAACTAAGAATTCACCGGTAACGACACCGAAGTTTACTCGTTGTGCCAATGTGTTGAGTAGTGTAGTCTTCCTATAAACGTCGAATAGTCAGTGAAGTTTCTTCATATTGTCTTAATCATATAGATATAACTGACCCAGCCCCGGAAGCGCCCACTAGAGCCGTAAGGCGACCGGGTTTGACATATCCCTGCACATCTTGTAAAAGTTGTTTCTTTCCACCTTTGTACGGTATCGTGTAGTTCAAGTTTCTCCAAGTAAATATTGACGTGCTCTGAGCAATACCTGTGACCTTCTCTCCAGAGTCCTCTGACGTAGATTCGTTCATGTTACTGTCAACGCCCTTCTCCTTATCCCCAGTTTCCACGTCCTCTGGGAGCTCCTTATTCTCGAGGGCTCGTTTCACTGTTTCTGGCTCCTCCCCTCTTTTGAATATAGTGGCAGAACTACCCCCTTTATTGGGCTTTTGAAGCTCCATCCCGAGCATGGTCAACGCAATGAATAGAGCTAACCATGCGATTATGATACCGAAATTGCGCCATAAATGTGACCTACTGTATGTAAATGCACTCTTGATATAGTTGGAGCCTTGAACAATTAGCTGGTTGGTATTGCTCCCTTGAATGGCACAGGTCTGGTGTCCAGGTGATGCTTTCGGACCATCCGGTACAATACTCGGTGGCTCGCATTGAATGTCCAGATTGTAGAATTCGTTTGCCATAACCCCTTCAAAAGCATATTGCACGGGATTAATCCAGATAAGCCATTTTAGCCAGGGATGCATTTTCCAAGGTGGAATAAGATAGCCTAAAGCAAAGTAGTTAGACGGTTGCGTAGAAGTACGACCTTGCTAGACTTGCCTGTATAAACGATGAGTGCTTGGATAGCAACACCGGTAATACGCGTAGCTTTTATCATGGAATTAGCATTCTTCTTCGCCAATGTAAAGGAGAAGAGTGCAAAGCATACCAATGTCAAGGGAACCGCATAATGCTCCAATAGTGCGAAAGAAGGAGTACATGGTCATCGTCAGGGTGAATATGAACAGGAAGTTGATAAAGAACTGAGAAGCGGTTCTTGAAAGATTGGCCATGCTAGACAAATGATTAGTAACCTAGCCATGCGAGTACCCTTGAGTTCGATTGGACGTACAAATATACAATTAGCTCAAACAGCGTAACTTGGACGAAGATTATGGGAATATCAACGATAACCTGCGCCAGAGCGAAAGCAGAAGGTCGATAGAAAGAGCTGGGTCTGTCAGCAGTAGTCTAGAATCGAATTCATCGTTGTACCTACAAGCTCTTGTGTTTTAGAATAACTGGCCGGGTGTCGAAAAACGACGTTAGTTCGGCCATCGCAAGTAAAGCATTGAAGAGCAAAACATAAAACATAACACCTCCTCTGGTGAAAACGCCGGCACTGCACTAGAAATTAGCTGCATATATACCTCAAGCCAAACCGTGCCATACTGACCTTGTCTGGGGCAAATTATAGAACAATGAGCCAGTTATGAGGGCTTGTCCGGTCAAAATCACCCATTTACCTATTAGAGTCGCCTTGTCGCCATACATAATGAGAAATTGACGATGCGTTAGAATAGCGACCTGGTGATAGAATGAAACAGTGTAGTTTTTCTTCGCCGATTCCTTTCTGGCAGCTTCGCGTTCCTCTTTCTGAGATTCTAGTTCTTCCTCGAAACTCTCATTGTCAGCTAGAGTGGCCTTGTAGATATCACTCTTGCGGTAGATTTTCCGAAACTCCTCTGCAGTCCGAGGGATTCGGTCTTCCCACCCCTGCTTGACACGACGCCCTTTTGGGTCGGTGACTGATAATAAAAAGTCTGGTGTCGTCCACCTAGGGGCACACTCAAACCCCAGGCCTTCAAAATAATTGCGGGCAGACTCAGCACGGCCGTAGTAGACACATTTGCCTTCTTCTATGAAAATCACCTTATCGAAAAGTTTGTATAGGGTTTCAGAAGCTTGATATAGAGCGACAAGTGTGGAGACGTTTGCCATATCAGTCAGGCTCCTCAAGCTTTGCACATACTCCAGCGCTGTACTTGCATCGAGTCCCTTCGTTGAATTATCCCATGACTGGGTGGACGCCCGAGTCACCAGTGCCTCTGCAATAGAGACACGCTTCTTCTCGCCTCCAGAGATCCCACGTATTAACGCATTACCCACCTTTGTGTCAAGGGCATGCTCAATCCAGAATAGCTTAGCTATGGCAGATAAGAATGTCTCCTGATATTCTTTCCGAGATTCTCCAGGCAGGCGTGATTCCTTATCCGGCGTCCGAGTTTTCAAAGCGAATAACAAAGTGTCCCGTACAGTCAAAGTTGGGTAGTGAAGGTCATCCTCGGGATTGTATAGCACTGAGAAGCTGAGCGGTCTGTTCATCCAAAGGTTCAAACGAGGGAAGAGTTATGGCATACCCTCAGAGCGGTACTTGCTCGCCATTGTATGAGCATCAGTACCTCCATAGCGCACGTCACCTTCGACGCTTTTATATCCCGATCTCTGATTTCCAATTACTTTCAGGAAAGTTGAGCACCCTGAGCCGGGCCGGCCTAGGACTAGTAGCATTTCCCCAGGCCGTACGCAACCCTGTCATGAGAGATGTGAGATTTCTGGAGCCCACCAACCGTACTAATGACTTACTGTAAAATCGTCTATAAGGGTCCGCAACGGAGGCTTATTCCTGCCACGAGTTAAAAGACTCTTGATCTTTCGAGGCAAAGCGAGGAGGACCTCGGAGTTCGTTGGTTGAATGGCAGCACCCTAGGTCATATAAGAGCTTTGCCCTTTCTTCAGCGCAGAGAGTGAGAGATTGCTTACGAGCCCAACCCCCTTCACAGTTAGATGCTTCCATACGACCCCAAGATGTCTCGTCTTTTCTTCGTCGGAGTTAGTCTTCCTCTCGTCACCAAACATTCGCGAAACAAGTCTCATGATCTGGGCCATAGCTTCAGTCCCCCCTTCCGTGTCTTCCTCAGATTCGCCGGTACGTCGCCGAGAGAGTACACGCATGATCTCATCTTCAGTGAGGCGTCTGTTCAACGATCCTGGCTGACTTGACTTTTCGGTCTCATTAGATTCTGCATTCTGTGCCAGGCTTGAATTTGAAGATATATTAGAGCTGGAGGCTGACACATCTGACACATCAGGGGCAATGTCTCGAGATAGGTGTCCTCCCTCCATCGTGACAGTGCTATTGATAGTATTGTTTGTGTCAAAAATAATGTGCTATCATTGAGGCTGCACTCGACATTCGTAACAAATGTGCTAAATATAAAGGACAGTGAAATGTCAAATACTGTAAGGTTATCTTGGTGATATATAACCGTGTACGGAACCATAGAAAATTATATGTTATACGAACTGAGATAGTACCAAATCCCACAAACCAAGGAAATCGAGACTAAATACGTCAGGATATTGTATGGAGACAACTATTACGCATGGTGTATATCGGATGTGGAATAGAAACTTGTCTCGCTGGTTGTCTCTTTGTCCTTTTTTTTCTTTTTCTTTTGTTTTTTATAGTGGCCCTCGTATACAGAGTACTCCATGACAGGTGCGGATGTAATGTATGTCCTTCCGATATGACAGAAGAGCAATCGGACGTTCTGAAGCCCGAGGTTCCGAACCAGGGTTGGAGCTTTGAAGGGCAGTTCGATTGCGAGAGGTTCAAGGTTCTAATCCATGGTTGTCGATCACGATGAAGTCATTGTCCCTCGATGGCGAATGTTCCAAGGCCGCCGGCTCGGCCTTAGTCGGTGGCTTTCTTTTATTTCCGATTGCGATCGATAATGCGATCGAGAGCAAAAGCGTGATGTCGAATCTGGCCATGGCCTGATATGCACATTTAAATGGTTGAGTATACTGGCATGGTTTCTAACATCCCTGCTCAAACAATTTTTTAGATATGCAACTCCACTTGGGCAGCCATTGAGTTCCTTGTACATAGTCTGCCATGTGTTGGAGAATTATTGAATTCTATTCATTGTGGTTAGCATGATACACTAACAGGGTAATTCCGTGTTTAAATGAGACTCTCGAGCACTTCTAAGGGAGCTCCAAATGGAGCTTCGAATGCTAGGTGTGGCCCAAAACAAAGGTGGTGTCGACTTGTTTTTATTCTCATCGTTATCAAGCGCTGTCGATAACTGTATCATTCCAGCTGTATTTCATACTGAAAAGAATCCCGAGTCTCACTCGGTATAATGGCATATAACTCTCAATGGTCGAAGCATGGTACGCGATTTATAATACGACGGCACATGTAAGGTAGTGAAGACGCCACGATAGCAGAGCTTCCCAAAAGCCTCCATAAATGAAATATATGGAGTATCCGAGGACGCTCAAGGCACAAGTTTGGACACCCCAATGGTCACTCTGGCGGGCTCTTAGATATGCGGGATGGTCATGATCTTGAAAGTACAAGTCAGTCTATCTTATGCCCTCAGCTCCGAATGCCCCTGCGAAGTAAAGTCATCCTTGTTGGTACTTTGGTCTGCTAAAAGTATCAAGTTCTCGTGCACCAAAGCGACTCACAAATCAATGACACCATAAAGATGTACTATGACCAGGTTCTCGAGCTTTGTAGCTGGACCAAACAAACCACGCATGATTGTTTTATGCAAACTTTATAGAGATTTATGGTGGCACAAGCAGGGAATACGAGTTAGAGTTTGCGCTTTGTTGGACACTTTCCCATGGGGATATGGACATGGAAGCCGCAGTTGCCATTGGATTCACTATATATTTCGTTGTCTCGGGCAGCTGGCTTCACAGTGTCTGGCTGCCCTTGTAGTAAGTAATAAAACGCCTTGCCAGTGATTCATCTCTAAGATATAGTGATGTTTATGTTTGCTATGCTGCTGCAAAGCTAAGGGATGGGTATCAACGACCGCTTTAGATCATTACTCTGGATTGGGTGTGCAAAATAGTACAGTTGCACTGGAAATGCATCGGATGAGTTCAAATATACGGACAGTCACATTATAGTTACACATTAACTTGATCAAGTTGGGAAGATGTACAGTAGAATAATCCAAATATCGAATCTGAGCAGGTTGCAATCGTACTATTTTATTTACTGGACTATATTTCGAGCCCGTAACACTGCCTTCACAGTATTCAGGCAAATATTTCGTTGGTATTTTAGATTAGGAAGAATGGGCAGCAACAAACTTTTCGAATGTGCTGGCAACAATGAAAGCGTTCATTTTCTGACTGTGAATGGCGCATGTGAGAAAGTATACAGAGGAGGGTGTGAAGATGGTATGAAGATCCAAAATACCCAACTTATGGGCCTGAGGACGATGGTGGAGGGGTAGGACCGGACGGCCCAGTGAGATTAGAAACTGTGAGGGATTGTTGAGGGTTCCAGGGCTTCGAGGCTCCAGCGGTCTGACTTGTTGACGGGCTATTTGACCCTTCAGGAGCGACCCCTGAATGATGACCATTCATTAGACGTGGGCGCTTAGCTTGAGGCCCTGCGTTGGGACTTCGGGTGACATCATGTGGTAGATATGGAGAAGTCTGTTGGCTAGAAGATGCAGATGGCCCCCCTGTCTGAATTGGTGACGGGGCCGGCGGGCTCATAGCCGCTGGGGGTTGCAGAATTCTTGACCTGGACATGCTTCCCGAGTCATCACCAACCGTTTGCCATCCGCAGTAGCATGGTCTTCCAAGACCGGACTAGAGTGTCCCACCCCGACGCGGCCCATGCTCTTGTCGTGCATCACCACGCGCTTCCACTTTGCCACGACACTATCATAGTCCCAGCGGGAGGAATCGGGGCTGATCTTGCTTTCTTTGGTGTCCAAATCTCGGGCTACATCCCGAGGTAGCGGCAACGTGTCAGGAGGAAAGAGAGCGAACTCCCTTGGCCATTGACACGAGCCTAATCTTTCTACTTGGGCACGAAGTTGATTTGCTTCTTGTTGCACCCGAGCTAGCTGGTCGTCCAATGATTTGCGTTTTTCCATTTCCCGGGCGAAAGCTCGAGTAATCTCAAGCTGCCATGCATCTCGCCTCGTTTCAGAAGGAAGAGAAGCCCAATGTTTGAACGCCAACTCTAGATGCCGCAGACTAATGTCTTCATGTTGTTGCGCACTTCGGGCGATCATGTTCGCATCCAGGCCAATACTTGGCCTCCCCGGCTGGGAGTTGCTCATAGAGTCGGTAGAAAGTTGATCGGACTGCCACTGATCGATCTTCGCACGAAGTGCTTGTCGAATGATCTCCACATGTTCCACACCAGGGGGCTGGAGCGGGAAGGAAGAAGGCGATGGGAACGGGCTCGTCGCGAATAAGCTGGGAGGTGGGGGCAGCAATTGCAGACAGAGCGAAGGAAACGTCTGCGATTGAATATCGAAATCGAATGGAGACAATCGAGGACGCATTCTTGAGCTGTTATCCACATAATTGGTCAGTGTGCCGAGCAACTTGAATATCCCATGCCGTGTAGTGGAAAACGTACGTTGCAGCCTTGATATTGTCCAGTACTTCCCGTAAAGCCAGCTCCAGAGCCCTCATCGTATCAGGACTATTAGCGCTAGCACCTCTGCTCGCATAATCAGGGAGGGGCTTAGGGGCCCGAGTTTGCGAAGTGGAAAACCGTGATGTGCTGGAAATATCGTGTGACTGACTAGGATTAGGAATATCGTTGATGACTCCCGTCGCATGCCAAGTGGGGGTATTAAACATCATTCTAACACCGTCGCGTGGCTTCACACCTGAGTCACTCGCATACGGATCCAACTGGCCTTTCCCTATGGTCCGTTCGGGAGTGTCCCGTTTGCCAGACGAGGTGCGAGCCTGTCGGCGGGTGATGCCACTTCGAATGCGCCGTATTTCCTCGACATCATGAACACCGTCCGGTTTCTTTTTGAAGAGAAACTGGTCGAGGTGACGGCCCAGGGAGGACGAGGTAAATGCCTGGTGACAATATTGACACTTGCGGTCTTTGAGAGCTGCATTCTTTCCAGCAGCCGACTGCGCGTTATCATCGGCCCCAGCAGAGCCCTCCGGGGTATCTGTCGGACGATTAGACGCGCTTTCTTCCATGTTTCACAAAGGACGCAATGGTTGTGGCTGCAGGTAAATGTAGGATCGCGGTAGGGCCGAGCGAGACGCGTTCACGAAACAAAGGGTAAATTGCCTTCCAACAATATTACCCAGCTCAAGGCATGACAAGAATCAAGCATGCGTAAACGCTGGCTGTAAAGAGGTTATGGCGGATTATTAGAATGCAAGGGACTCGACAAGCCACAGGATCATCGAATGATAGAGTGGTCAGGGAGGAGATGAGACCGACCAAAGGGAGAGGAGAGAAATAACGAGGGAACGTGACGATCAACCGACCGCCAAGCTTTTTGTTGTGGGGGACATCTCTGCCTCTTATTTTTCCAAGACAAGCTCCTGACCACCACTTGAAACGATAGAGAGCATGAATTGAGTATTTATCTCAATGGAAAATTTTTTAAGAGGTATACAATCTCTCCCTTCTTGTATCGGAGTGTAACAGCTAAGCATACAAAGCAATGCGGAAGCTAGTTGTGACTAGTCACCCCGATTGCACTAGTTACCCAGGATACTCGACCAACAGAGGCAGTAGAACGCTCAAGTTATAATAGATTTATCTGATTCACGGATAATCTAAGAAGATGGATGGCAACGAAGATACCGCTGATATTAACATTGACAATCTCATCGGCATCACCACTACCTATTCCACTATCACGATCTGCCCCCACGCATTCTTCGAGCACTAGACCTATAGCTTTGCCAAAGCCAGATATGTCGCTTGATTCTAGCTAGTTTCAGACTGTAAGCGCATCTCTTGGCTTATGTAGTCTGCTAAGGTCAGTATTTTTTCCTCCTCCAGTCGCCGCCCAACTAATTGAACCCCAGCAGGAGCAGCATCGTAAGCTTCAGGATCATCTATCAAGGCGTTAGTAATTCGAGAGCATGTCAATTTATGCGAAAAGCTCACATTGATCATGAACTGTCTTGTCCACCTCACTCAGGAAATCATCCCTCGGCTGAGGCACATCAACCTTTTTGTCTGCATGGGTAACCGGGAACACGACGCTCGTGTAGTCCAAGACGTTAACGAACGCGGTATACCCAACATGGGCATACTTATGGGGGAGTACTGCAGCGTGCGGCGCACATGGGCAGATTACACCGTCGACAGGGCGCCCGGTACCCGTTATTTCCGCCGTACTATTCCAGTAATCCATGTAAAGCTTCTGATATTGCCGCTTTTCCACATTGAGTGCAGCGAGTTCTAGAGCACTCAGGTGTGGGATTCCCTCCCCCACAATGCATTGGAGAGATTTTGGTTCTCCAGACAACCCAAGATGGTGTGCTATGTCCGCTCCACCATCAGCCACGCAGATCCTACCCTACTATTGTCAATATCACTAACATTAGGTAGAATAGACAGATTAGAAACTTACAAATAGGTCTGTGCCAACATTGTGGGCAGGGGGGTTCCACTCGATCAACTAGGGTATATGTTAGTATATATACCTTAGTATACCTCTTGACCCTTCAGGTTTTGCGTTACCTTATGGCCTAATCGCTTCAAAGCTTGCTCGACAATCTCGACAGCCCTCGCTATGGGTGGATGAGGTTGGACCATGCCATCATGGCGCATAATAGCAAATGCAAGAGAAGAAGAACCCTCAGTTGATTTTCTTATCAGCGCTCGAGTCCTCTCTTCAATATCCGTCCTCCAGGGCAGCTCCAGCACGAGTGGGTCATGGTACCATGGCTGTTGACTGAGCACAGCCTTGAACAGTAGTGTAAGAGAACGTGCGGTAGTTGCAAGTGGCCCAACAACCGATAACATCAAATTCTGGCCGTCAATTGAGTTTGCAGCGCCCTCATAGGGCATTCTTCCAGACGATGGACGGAGTCCAAAAAGTCCGTTGAACACAGCTGGGATACGTATGCTCCCGCCGATATCAGTTCCAAAGCCACTGGGAGATCCTTTCAAAGCGATCAGTGCTCCTTCACCACCCGAGCTACCTCCGCTGGATAGAAGTCGGTTTTTAGGATTCCATGTATACGAGATGATGTTGTTGACAGTTTCACCCGTCATCAATGTTGCAGGCACACTCGTCTTGCAGTACAGTACCGCTCCGAGATTCCTAAGCTCCTTGACGAGTTCACTCTCGAATGTGCCCCGCCTCGGATCATCCTTTTTGCCTTGGAACGTTCCAATCCATCCTATATATCCCATCGTCGTCTCGACACCTTTGACATGGAATTGATCCTTCAAACTGATAGGCAGACCGTGCAGCGGTCCGATTGGTTTCTTATGCTCGGCAAAGTAAGCATCGAGTCTTTTTGCATCCTCGATTGCAGCATCGAAGAACACCTCATGCAGACAGTTCACCTACAGTAATCAGTGAGTACCGTCTCAGACATCGTGAGAACCGACATGAAAACATACAAGCTGGTGAGCAAGGGCAGCCCTGTGACAAAACGCCTCGGTCACTTCGACAGCGGTCCAACTGCCAGACGTTGTCTGTTCAGTAATCCCCGCCGCATCCGTCCCAGTGATCTCTATTTCTCGTGGGGTCAAGAACTGCTGAATATAGGCACCGGTCACATCACGAAGTTCATCCGCCGGAGGGATAGGATTCTGAAGTCTCCACTTGGCGGGAATCGCCCCCAAGATGGATCGGCGTTTGAGGTCCCCCAACTGTTCATAAGTGGTGTTAGTCATAGCCAGTGCTAGTTCACTAAGCGAGCGGGGGATTAACTAAGGGGAAGGTAGGAGGTGTATTATGTTGCGCTATGGAATACTTCGAAGGAAGCTTCACAGAGAATTGGGGGACGCTTACTTATTTAAATTATTCGTCTTATCGCCCCAATGCACTGTTATGACGGCTAATGGACCGAAGAGGAGACCGTCCCACGCGCTGCTGGTTTGAGCTAACTTGATAGTGGGGTTGCGGGGCAGATCTGTATCATTCATTGATTCACCGTCTGTATTGATATGCAATCGTACAGATTGAGCTATGGCTTACGCAAAACATTGTCTCTTCCGGTGCCGGCTTAGACTAAATTTATTAATTCTATTACTTATGGACCTCGGTTAATCGATTCCAAGCCATATTTGACCTGGACCATCATATTCATGGTTGCGCTTGTATACAAATGTCTAAATAATGCAAAGTCTAAACGCATCAACGCCAACGATCACCAAATTCCGTTATACATGTAGGTGAACCCACCTGAACGTACCAAATAAAGTCATCAGACAGCTACCAAAGATGTCCATCATCCAACAACCGGAACATCTGATGATTCTCATGGAACCAGTCTCCCAGCTCCATGCCCGTTAAGTCCATTGCCATAGTACTATTCAAACCAGTCTGCACGAGCGCGGGAGCGTACACACCGGAGCCATACCCAGGCATTTGCGTCAATAGCTGTTGGCCACTATTGACCCACGGGTTAGACAAACCAGCCTCTGACACACTGTGTAGAGCTCCATTGGTAGAAGAAGCCTGGCCCGAGTTCATCGATGATGACTGGAGAAGCATGCTAGACCCTATGGCATTCGGATTTGCAATATGAACACCCATGCTGTTGCTACTTGGTACATTCATTCGTACTCCGGGAGTGCTGGCCTTCACCTCGACATATTTTCTCGCTACGTCATATAAGGCTCGGAAAAGGCGGACCTGGTTTCTGGAAACTTTGTAAGTTACTGTCGAACGGATTGACTGTAGTACCTCGACAAACGCGCCGAGACATTTCAGGTCGTCGGGCTCAGATGTCTCGATTATGTAGCAGAAAAGAACTATGAAAGGAAAGAAAGGAAATTGGAGTAGGGTCCTAGTCAAATACGTTAGTAGCTTAGTTGATTTGCCATTGATGGATGATAAACGACTAACCAGTTGATGTACATTTCCAGAAAGTCTTCATCCCAAGGGCGACTGAGAATGAGAGCAACACATTTTTCATGCTCTTTGAGGGCTTCCCGTGCTGTAGCTATGCATTCATCACAGAAGGCGGTTCCCGATGGTTTCTCAGGAGGGATTGCTCGATAGATGAGTGATAGTAGAGATAGATTGCAAACCCTATCTGAACGCTGAACAATCTGGTGGAGATCGTCTCCGATAGCACGGCGACTTTCGTTATTATAAATTCTCTTAAATGACGCATTAGTACGAACAAAAGATTATGATCAAAGCCTTCCAGTTCAACATAGGTATGGCCCTAGCATTATTATAGTGGTGTAGAGAAAACGTAGGAGCTTACCTCAAACTCATCTTCGGAATCCATAAGTTTCTTTACCTCGGCCACCAGACTCCTTGCACGGGATATTCTGGTATCTACCGACTGCATTAGAGCACTAGGGCTATAGATGTCGTTGTATGTCTTTCCCTGGATTCTTGCTAAATCAATCCACCTAGGCACCAACAGCGAGTTCATGCTCTGTCCAAGGGAAGGCCGTGGTGCCGTGATGTCTTCATCTCGAAAAGTTGACGATCGACCTAGTCGTAGGCACAACGATTTTTCCATGAGAAACACGGCCCAGAATAGGCGAATCTTTTGGTTTTTAGTTTCTGAGTTGTCTGTGTTTAGAGCGTGGGCGCTATGGAGGCCGAGCGTTTGACACAGATGTGCTGCTGTGGTAATGAAACTCCATGCTATTGAGGCTTGGCCATTTGAAGACAGTATGTTGCCTTGGGGTAAATTTAGGACATGCACTTGTTGGAGTAAAGAATGGGGGGAGGGGTGGGGTGATGATGGGCGAAAAGGCTCGTTTGCTTACTGCAACATTCATAGCAAAGACAACATCAGTGTTGACTGGCATATGGAATGGGAGATTTGACAAAACTGTCTCAAGATTATCCCGACACAGCATAGCCTGGGACATGTAGTTTTCCTTAACTTTTGGGTCTACAAACAGGCTAGCGCATTCGCAGAAAAGCCAGTAAAGGCCTCCGTTCACAATGATCATATCAGCATCTGTGGCTGGCCCAGGTGAGTAGACTCTCAAGAAGTAGTCGTTGAACTGCGAAACAGAGAGTAATTCAATGAGCCAGAAACGCTGAATCCTGGGCTGCTCTATCATTGTTGTAGCTAGTCAGTTAGCAGCGCAAGAATTATGGAGATTATGGGCTGCACCTTTGGCCATCCGCAAGCACGTAAGAGTCATTTCGACCGGGGGGAGAGGAAGCTGTCTTATACTAGAGCCCTGGGGTATTGGTTTGGCATATGGGTAAAGGTTTTCAAGGGTATCCCTTTGCTGTTTCTGGTCGTCAACTATGCCATGTAGCGTATCAAGAATTGAGGTCATCTCCTGCGCGATCTGGACAGAGTTTGTGCTGCTAACCACGTCTTGGAGGTACCTTGTTGCAAAAATGGCGTGGGCAGATAGCGACGTTCCGCCTTCATATTCAGCTTTGGAAGCTACAGCACAGCTTTTCAAGTCATTTTTGACTTGAGGCTGAGATACAAATGTTGATGGGCGGGTATCCGGGTCCCGTTCATCCACGGGAGGTGGTTCGATAGTCGCAGACTGATGGGAGCCCGACGGGATGAATGAAGCATTGCTCAATGTGGCCACTTGCTGGCTGAGCTCATCCAGCTTCTGTACCATGTATTCCATTCTTTGTTCACTTGTTGATACTGAGTACATATGAAAGAGATGGTATTATGGCGGAGTACTTACTACTGGGCTGAAATCAAAACCCGTTGCCTTTTTTCTCTCGGTCTGAGGCGGCCTGAGTACATACATCGAGTCTTTGCACGAATGCATTGTGAGCAGGGAATCGAGCGATCACAGCGAATCTAGAAAATGCAAGGGAGTGTCTGAGTGACTAGTCTCGCAGCCATAGGATATGTTGTGAATGTGGCGCCGCGTACCTTTCGCTGTCGACAGCGGTTACACTAGCATTGGTCAACAAGCGATCTGATGAAGTTCGCAGGAGTAAACTCGTACAGCTCGTGCTTGGCACTCTAGCGGTCTTTCATGCTCTTCTTTCTCGGCGTTATCCATAGCGGAGACGTCATCAGTCACGAAGTCATCGGTATCCTCCTCCATCCGTGCGGAAGTGATAAAACTCAGAGCGGGAGGCTTTTGGGTGAGCTATTAGTAGTATAATGTAGATCATAGGAGCTGGCTTGCTAAGGGGAAATGGACCATTCAATGAAGCCTAGAGTACTATAAAGGACTTGTATTACTATGTTGGTCAGTGGGCCGGACTCGCGGGATGCCAAGGACCCGCAGTCCGACGTCCGGCAACGGGGTCTTGGCATCCCGCAAGTCCGTCTAACGGCCTAATAATTTTGTTTTGAGAGAAGATGTGCTGTAGAATCTTACCATTGTGAGCACATGCCAATTCAGCCACTGTAGTACCTTCTCGGTTGGATACGACAATTGGTAGGGGATACCCCTTGTTCCTCCACTTTGGCCATTTCTTTTGGCTTTCTGATCGGGCAAATACGTTATCTATCCATGGATGCTTAGTGTCACAGCTGAAGATGACTGCGTGGATCTGAATCATACCGACATATATAAGTCTAGACAGCCCCTGGAATGTTAGTAGTTTGTACATAAGAAATTCACAGGAACTCCTTTCCATTCACTAGTATGGTTGTGCGCTTATAAAACGTGTCCTTGTCTATTCTATTATATAATTACCGGTGTTTGTCCAGCCATGACGGATCCGTCAGTAATGGAGAAACCAGCTGCTGGTTCCTCGAAATCTTCAGACAAAGATGATCAAAGTCGACATGAAGACATACAGAATCATTCCACATTCAAAAGTTTTCTGGTATGATATGAGCACTTCCTCATTAATTGTCACGCTTGTCTTGACTGAACACGACTTATAGAGAGTCTTTACATTCGGCCGACCCATCGACTATGTCCTCGGGTTGATCAGCTTGCTTGCTTCGATTGGCTCTGGCGTCGCCTTAGCCATGGTGAATCTCGTGCTGGGCAAGTTCATGACACTTCTCAGTGGTTCCACCATAGGCACTAGTTTTCCAGACAATTTTATGTCACAAGTCAGCAAATTCTCGTGAGACTCTACACCCCTGATATGGAAGAGGCTTCTCTTACCCAGAGCTAACATATGCCGTTCGTTTACAGCTTATACTTTGTCTACATCGGAATAGCCAGGCTAGGTTGTACCTACATTTACTCATCGCTCCTCACATACGTAGCCTACCACTTGACCAGAAACATTCGATACAAATACCTTCGCGCGGCCTTCAGTCAAGAAACGGGGTACTTCGACCAAGGTACTAGCGGCTCAATATCAACGCAAGCCACATCCAATGGCAAGTTAATCCATTCTGGAATTTCAGAGAAACTAGGAATCTTCATCCAAGCAATTGCAACGTTCATAGCAGCTTTCATTATTGCATTTGTCAGCCATTGGAAGCTGACATTGATCATCTGCTGCATCGTTCCGGCTCTTCTTGTCGTTGGTGGGGGGTTTTCGTTCGTTGATGCTGGATACGAGACGAACATTCTTAAAGTCAACGCGCAGGCAGCTTCATATGCTGAAAATATTCTCAGCGGTGTTCGAGCTGTTCACGCGTTCAGCCTTCGACCCAGGATTATCCACAAGTATGAACAATACTTACAAAGTGTGTTTGAAATTGGGATGAAGAAGAATCCAGTTTATGGCGTCATGTTCGGGTCCGAATACTTTATCATATATGCTGGAATGGGTTTAGCATTTTGGCAAGGCATTCATATGCTCGCCCGAGGTGATATCCCGGACATTGGTACCGTCTTCACGTATGTCAGGCTTTCTCTCTCTTAGCTTTGGTCAAACAAGCATTCTATGATCCTCTGTTAACGCACGAAAGTGTCCTTTTCTCCGTGGTTATTGCGGCCAGCACCATTACGTCCATCGCGCCTCATACAGTAACGTTCACACGTGCAGCTAGCGCAGCTGCAGAGTTATTTACCTTGATTGACAGAAAATCTGAGATCAATCCGCTCGACGAGTCCGGGGACAAGCCGCAAGATACATATGGTGTCATAGACATTGACCACATTACCTTCAATTACCCTAGCCGTCCAAACGTTTGTGTGTTAGGGGACTTCTCCCTTCATGTCCCGGCAGGGAAGGTCACCGCCCTTGTCGTGAGTTGCCCATCTTCTCTTCATATACGAACCGGGAGCGTGCTAACCCATATGGCAAAACAAGGGTGCTAGTGGGTCTGGAAAAAGTACAATCGTTGGGCTTCTAGAGCGATGGTATAAGCCATTGGCCGGTTCAATAAAGTTGGATGGGCGAGATATCGAGCAGTTGAATCTAAAATGGCTTCGCACAAACGTCCGGCTTGTGCAACAGGTGACTAGCAGCCTCATGCATTAAACAAATTCAACACACGGCTAATACTAGTAAGGAACCGGTCCTCTTCAACGGAAGCGTTTTCGACAACATTGCGAATGGCCTTATCGGTACACCATGGGAGGCCGCTCCATATGAAGAACAGCGCAAACGCGTGGAAGACGCAGCTAAACTTGCATTTGCACATGACTTCATTATGAACCTCCCGAATGGCTACGATTCGCTAATTGGTGAAAGAGGGGGTCTTTTATCGGGCGGGCAGAAACAAAGAATTGCCATTGCACGCAGCATTATCTCTGAGCCAAAGATCCTCCTCTTGGATGAAGCTACTAGCGCTTTAGATCCACACGCCGAAGGTATAGTACAGCAGGCTTTAGATCGTGCTTCCAAGAACAGAACGACTATAGTGATTGCGCACAAATTGGCAACTATCCGCAATGCAGACAACATCGTCGTGATGTCAAAAGGGAGAATTGTCGAGCAAGGTCAACATAGCGAGCTGGTTGCCAGGGGTGGTGCATACGCGAGTTTAGTCAAGGCACAAGATCTATCAACAACACGATCGGCAGATGATGAGGAGCAAAGCACTGAAGACGAAGAGACACCTAATAAAGAGGCTGAGCCGGTCCAGTCTCTTGCTCGGTATCAAACGGCCGAGGCACGGCAGCTGACAATGCTCCAGCGTCGCGAAGACTTTGGACTATACAAAAGAAGCGGCATTCTTCGCAGTATAGTCAAATTGGTCATTGCTACACCCAAGTTGAGACTCTGGTACTTCCTCACTATAGTCTGTTGCGTGGCAGGAGGTAAAATATGATAATTCGACTATTGTCCATTGGATTGGCTAACTCTCTTTTAGCTGCCATTTATCCCGGGCAAGCGCTACTCCTAGCTAATGTTATGGACATATTCTCAGCGCCGAATATGGTTGAGCGTGGCAACTTCATTGCCCTGATGTATTTTGTCATGGCGCTCGGTTGTATCATTGTTTACTTCGGTCTAGGATGGGCCACAAACATTATCGCACAGGTACGGCATCATCTGCCTGGAACATGGCCTTCTCATTAACTCAAACCATCAGACTTTCAATAAGATCTTCCGCCACGACCTCCTGGACTCCATGCTCAAACAAGATCTCCGGTTTTTTGACCGACCTGAAAACACCGTTGGTGCATTAACAAGTCGGCTTGACTCGCATCCACAAGCGATTTTAGAGCTCATGGGCTTTAACATTGCCCTTGTCTTTCTCTCGGCAATCAACGTACTTGCGTCTAGCATACTCTCGTTAGCTATAGCTTGGAAGCTAGGTGTAATGGGCGTTTTTGTCGGGTTACCGCCTATGTTAATAGCAGGCTATGCACGTATCCGCCTTGAAACCAAGATGGATACGGATATGGGAAAGAGGTTCTCTCAGAGTGCTTCGCTGGCTTCGGAGGCGGTGCTTTCTATCCGAACAGTCTCCTCGCTCGCTATGGAGGAGAATATCTTGAAGAGATACACTAATGAGTTGGATCGGGCGATACAAACATCGACCCGCCCTCTGTTCAATATGATGGTGTGGTTCTCCCTAACTCAGTCCATTGAGTATTTTATCCTTGCATTAGGATTTTGGTATGTTTTTTCCTTACACCCCTTCTTCTTTTGTCTCCAAGTACTCTTATAGGTATGAGTCTAGACTGACCATATTCCAGGTGGGGTTCCAAGTTGATCCATGACGGAGACATCACGTTTTACCAGTTCATCGTCTCTTTCATGGGTGTATACTTCTCTGGCCAAGGTGCTGGCCAACTCTTCAGCTTCTCGAGCAGTTTCACGAAGGCTAATGAAGCGGCAAACTACTATTTCTGGTTAACAAATCTCTCCCCCATGATCCAAGAAACAAAAGAAAACCGCGGCAACGGACCCTTAAACCAATGCCAGGCGATTGATTTCCAAGATATCCAGTTTTCCTACCCTCTAGCACCAGAAACCCGTATTCTGAAGGGTGTGTCTTTTAACGTACGTTTGGAGTCTTTCACTTCTTTTCTTCCAGTGCTATTACCATCACACAGAACTAACATTGTTTTGACATCTCAGATTCGGAAAGGCCAATTTGTAGCTCTAGTAGGAGCCTCCGGCTGCGGGAAAAGTACGATGATTTCGCTGTTAGAACGCTTCTACGACCCAACGCAAGGCACCATCAGAGTTGATTCATCCCCGCTTAACAGCATGAATCCAATTTTATACAGACAGCAGGTCGCTCTTGTGCAACAGGAGCCAACATTATTTCCGGGAACCATATTAGAGAATATCTCATATGGGCTGGACATTGCACCATCGGAATCAGCTAGTGCTCCAAGCTCCGAGGTCGAAAATGCTTGCCGGGCAGCAAATGTATGGGACTTTATTTGCTCGTTGCCGGATGGACTCCAGACGCCCTGTGGAACGAGTGGTAGCCAGCTTTCTGGTGGACAACGACAGAGAGTTGCGATTGCAAGAGCCTTGATCAGGAATCCTCGGGTAATACTCTTAGATGAGGCGACAAGTGCGCTCGATACAGAGTCGGAGAAAGTTGTGCAGGGAGCATTGATGCAGGCTGCGACAAGTGGGGAGAGAATAACAGTTGCTGTCGCTCATCGGCTTTCGACGGTTCGGGAGGCAGACTGTATATTCGTGTTTTTGGGTGGCCGGATTGCTGAGTGTGGTAGGCATGGTGAGTTGGTTGAAAAGGGTGGTATTTATGCAAAGATGTGTGAGGCGCAGAGCTTGGATTCGGGAGCATAGACTTACCTTTATGTTTAATCTGGTCTTATAGATTCTTCGATTATGTTTTCTATAGTTTTCAGTCAATAGTTTTTCTCCATAATGAATAATTCTCAGCTAACAGTCTCTTGTCGTGTTGACATATTGATACAACATACATATAACTGTTCATTCTACAATATTTAAATGCTCTTTTTCAAACGGTATATACTATTATTGACTTGCGTCTGCCGCCTCAGCTACGCTCTACCAAGTCGTTCTATAAACATGGCTGTAACGGCGGGTTCTATATAAGTTAGTTCCAGGGCTTCGGGATCGTTGATCCCGAATTATTCTGACCTTTTGGCCTTGTGGAATAGGGTGCCCTGGCTCTATCTCTTACAATGGCAAAGCTTTCACAGCAACCATCCACACCCAATTTTCTACGAACATAGCCATCTGGGCCTCGCATTTTCGTAGTCTCTCTATATGCTGTTCGAGAAGGCTGATTAGAGAAGGATTTGTAGTGCTACCGAAAGACAGAAGCCAATGCTTGATACAAAAGTGGATCGATTCATATGTGCGTATCGAGTAAATAACCTCCTGAATATCTACAGTAGAAACTTCTGTGTTAACTCTAATTCCGTGTTGGGCATCTTTGTGCTAATCTGAGACCATGCTTCATCTTTTCCTTGTGTCTGCATCAATTCGTGATAATAGTTCAAGTGTGTGTATTTGTGACCGTCATTTGTCGAACGTTCAGATTGACTCTTTTGCCTGACATCCAACCCTTCCACTTGTCGTATTTTGAAGTGTCTGCATCGTCAACAGCGCACAATGGCCAATCAGCCAGCCATTCCGGGCATGTTCCAGGGACGATCTTGGGTACAGCATGCCATGCAAAACGTGACGTCCCGTCCATATACACAGCATCTCCAGAGCGAAGTCGAACAATTTCACAGCCCTTCCCATCATCATGACTGATGAGGAACAGGCCATCACAGCCAAAGCTGACACTGATCAAGCCGACATCACACTCTTCACTCACATCCCGATGAGGCTCAGCGTATCTCCTGGCGAATAGAGATTTAGAATGGCTGCCTGGGCTTCTGTCTGTGGAAATGCTGCATGTAAAACACTGGCAACATCTTCTGGAAATGCTGGCGGGCGCTCTGCCGGATACTCTTTGGTAGTCCAATTATATTGGCCGCCCAGGGTTGCCCATCGGAGCTTCTTATTTAGGATTTGTTGAACAGTCAATGGCTTGTGAATTTCTGGATCCTTCGGGTAGACCACACGAGCCGGATCGTCTTCGAAGAATGACAGGATGTCGTTGCCTTCTGAGCCAGTACCCGCCGAGGACGTCGACATGCCAGGCTCAATGGGAGCATGTTCTGTTTCGCCAGGATAGATGATGTTGTAGTGTAGATGAAGGTTTGTTCGATGCTCCTTGTTAGACAAATCTCTATGTAATAAACGAGACAACAGCTCTACTTGTACCGCCGGAGGAATCAACGACGGGATCATTTGCAAACCTACCGCTTGTTAGGAGCTGACTCTGCTATGACTTGACAAAGGCATTAGGGCATGATGCTGACCAGAAACTGACTCATGTGTATATACTGGAATATCTTTAACAGGAGTATCTGCATCCTTTTGACTTTCAACGTGTGCACGGACAAGTTGTTGGAAAACTGGCTGCACATGCGCACCTGGCATCCATTGTGCGAGAGATATGTTGCTCGGAAGCTTATCGGGGTTTAGACCTTGGAGATCAATAATTTGATGATCCAATTCTATATCTGATAGGGTAGCTTTTTGGATTTCTTTATAGCGGTGACGGATGGCCTCTGGTGGGCGTTCATGAGCATTGAGTTCTTTAATGTGAGGCATAGCGGGAGTTATATGCAGTATAATACTCAGTGAATCAGTTCACTGCATTTAACATTAGTCCCAGTATATTAGTGCGGACTATATCAAAGCCACGTATATCCTCGACTTGCTACCGATAATTACACATGTGAAATCTCGGTGTCTATTGGAAGATATGAGGAATTCTTGTTTGTCTGGGAATGATTATATCTACATCGAGGACTAAAACTCAAAAAAAGAGGGACAAAAGATAAAAAAGATAAAAAAAAAAAGCGGTGTCAAGGTGCTCACCGCCTTCAAACGCGGGTTTTGTTTACTGTTGTTGATATCATTTTGACCGCCTTTGCTCCCCACCACAGAACGGGCATGAAAAGACTCCATTGAAGTGACCCATCGATTCGACAACGCAGGTTTTTCGGAATTGGCTAGTCAAAACCTTTGAAAGCTCGATATTGGAGCTTAGCTGGCGATCAGTCTGCATTTATCGTAGCTGTTGACTACTATCCCTTCAACCGACGCGCAGCTACTGGACGCCAACCAGAAAACCCCCGTTTATTGTTGTGCTTCTCGCTTCTTCCCTGGGCAACACAACGCTGTCGTTTTGCAGTACATTTCTGCTTACTGCCCCGCGCTACGGTGGCTCAGGAGAGACAATTAACCTAAGATCCTTCGCCTGAACAAAGTCTGTAGCGCTATCTTTCGGATATCACGTAGTCATGGAGAACTACCAGAAGATCGAGAAAATCGGAGAGGGTAAGGTTCCGAAGAATGGCCCTAGGCTTTGCAACCCTTGACCACCCTTTTATAAGTGAGGTTCTTTCAGTGGCTGACTCGTGTCCCTCTCTCTAGGAACCTACGGCGTTGTTTACAAGGCCCGTGAGCTCACACATCCTAACCGCATTGTCGCCTTGAAAAAGATTCGGTTAGAGGCAGAAGATGAAGGCGTTCCAAGCACGGCCATCCGTGAGATCTCCTTGCTGAAGGAAATGAGCGATCCCAACATTGTACGACTCCTCAATATTGTCCATGCAGATGGCCACAAGTTATACCTCGTTTTTGAATTCCTGGACCTGGACCTCAAGAAATATATGGAGGCCCTGCCTGTAAGCGAAGGTGGACGTGGCAAAGCACTCCCGGATGGCTCTGCACTAAGCAAGAGTATGGGACTGGGAGATGCGATGGTCAAGAAGTTCATGGCTCAATTGATTGAGGGAATTCGCTATTGCCACAGCCACCGTATCTTGCATCGGGATCTCAAGCCTCAGAACCTCTTAATCGACCGTGACGGCAACCTGAAATTGGCAGACTTTGGACTGGCAAGGGCATTTGGTGTTCCTTTGAGAACATACACACACGAGGTATTTATACTGAAACTAATTGCCCTTGTTTTACATTGGCATTGACCCTTCAATCTTAGGTTGTGACACTGTGGTATCGCTCTCCCGAAATCCTCCTGGGTGGACGCCAGTACTCCACTGGTGTTGACATGTGGTCTTGTGGAGCTATCTTTGCAGAGATGTGCACTCGAAAGCCTCTTTTCCCTGGAGACTCCGAAATCGATGAAATCTTCAAGATTTTCCGGTACGTTGACCTACTTGTCGAGAACGAATGAAGAGAGTAAGAAAGAAAGGACGTCACGATCTCTGACTGCTTTCTCTACACAGACTCCTTGGTACACCGGACGAAATTGCCTGGCCTGGCGTCACCTCCTTCCCCGACTATAAGCCGACCTTCCCCAAGTGGAAGCGTGAAGAAACCCGCGCACTCGTTCCTGGCTTAGAAGAAGATGGCCTTGATCTCCTGGACGCCCTCCTCGAATACGATCCAGCACGGCGTATCTCTGCCAAGCAGGCTTGCATGCACCCATACTTCCAGCACGGTAGCTCTTACTACTCCGGTCGCACACGCAGGCACTAAGAGAGACCTTCGTCATGTATAATGTATTCGTGGACGGCTGAAGCAGACCCAGAGGCGCTATCCGTATAGCGTAACAGCGCTCCTGTTCTCGCGTCTATTGCCTACCCTCAGAATATCTTCGACGCTCTCATGTTTCTCCTTTTTTCTATTCGCTTTGTCTTCTTTTAATTCTACATCTTCCTTTTCCGATTGGTTTGCGGTTTATTACATGTCTTCCATTCCTTTTTCATGGCGTTAATCATGGTGCGATGACCGGCAGGAAAGAGATTAGGTTACTGGATATTGCAAGGAGTGTTGTCTTGATGTATGCATACATACCCATTTATAAATCTTTTATATATATTCTGTAAGACTCAAGGGGTACAGCAAGAAGGATTATAACATAACTACGGAGTACTCCGTACCACGTGCTGAATCACGGGTTTGCAATGCTTTTGGTCTGTGTCCAGCGCGACCCAGGCAATTGGCCAGTAAGATAACCTTCGCTCAGCCTCAGCGATTCCTTCGCCTTGGCCTAAGTTTCTTCTGAAGGCCTGTGTGGGTTTCCTCGAGTGGGGAAACCCAGAATTAACTCAAGTGTCACTTTCAACATCCCATCGCTTATCACTATACTAACTAGTTTAGTGTTGAATTATCGCCCAATAACAGCAGTCTCTACCTTTTTTGGGGGGGGATCTTTTAGCTCTACTAGACCAACTCCAACGTTTACTAATGGAGGTTTGCAGAATTGCACAGCCTCCTGAGAGTCGTTCAGGTCTGGGTCTGTCGGCTGGCCCAGCCTGGCAAGACTGGCCAACATCTCATCGTCGGCCGTGTTCTTACATTGGGAGCAGCACACTAATTTCCCTGCATATGCACCTTTTATTATTGCCACTCATATTACAAGGGCTTTAATATGCGCTTACTCTGGTATGAAATTAGTGGGTGTTGCACCCAAAGATGGCGTTTCGGCAGCCTGCAGAGCGGCCAGAGCCCATTCAGCTGCCATGCTTCGATAACCTTGGAAGTACGGCGATACCTCCTATTTTGAGCATGCCAAATGGGGGCCAAATCCAAGACTCGGCAGTTCCGTTAGCAAGGGCTGTCAGCCCGTTGACTCAAACGGTTTAGAGAGTGTTCGGCAGAAGCGCAGCTTGCATATCATTCGCTTATGCTCCGAATCGCTGAACTAAAGAAGACAAGCTAAACCCTGCCATTGCGTACAAGGCGTCCCAGGCTAGTCCTTAGACTGTATATCTCGCGGCACCCCGATTGGCTTACTCGTTATTTGTGTTAAAATATGTGTGACGAGGGAGGTCCAGTTCACGAACTTTATCAGTCTGATTCGCTCAGCCTCAGGTATCGACACGAGGTGGCCGTGTGAAGCCTTTGTTTCAAGCTATCCTTAGATTGCGCCTTATTTTCCTTGCTTTTTTTTAAACCTCTCTTGAATTACGAGCTGAAAAGAGTCTCATTTCGACGTATAAAAGCTCTTTAGATGTATCGGTGACCCTCGATGCTGCCACCAAATCTCAAACTCATCACAACCCCGCCTCAAACCATTACCCAGTAGGCGCAGAAAAGGCCCGCAAAAATGGACCACGACGACGATCTTACCGACATGGTTTTCACTCCACCACTTTCAACACGCTCAGGTGGTCGAAAGCGAAGGGCAAGTCAAACGCCGCAGGAAACCCTGCGACAATTTTGGAATCAGTTTAATTCGAAATTCCCAGGGAGAGTCTATACTGTACTCCCCGATAATCCTTACGCACGTACCAAAGCAGAGAGGGTACCGAAAGGAGTTATCCAGGGACAAGATGCGGGCAAGTCCTATGAGGAAGCCCGAAAAGAATGTCGGCGGGCTGTCGATCGCATTGTGAAAGAGTGCGAGCGACTGAACCAAAAATATACAGATCCGCATTTCGATATAGAAGTTGATCTCAAGTCAGGAAAGAGGAACTGCCTGGATACGCTCGAGGAGGAAAATATGGAGATGCGTCCAAGGGGTGTGAAGCGAGTGACAGTAAGTTATACAGTACATGCCGCCGCGATCGAAAGATAGCTGTGATCTGACAAGCGGTTTTAGGAAATCTTTGAGAAACCGCGGTTCTTTGTGAATGGACCAACTGCTTCCGACGTGCGCCAAGGTCGCGATGGTGATTGTTGGTTCATGGCTGCCCTCTGCACAATGGGCAATAAAAATGGTTTGATTGAGCAGATTTGCGTAGCCCGGGATGAGAAAATCGGTGTCTATGGGTTTGTCTTCTATCGGGGTACGTCATATCTTCTGTCAATCATTTGCTGATGTGAACGACACTGACACTTTTCAGATGGTGAATGGCAGCAATGTATCGTGGATGACAAATTGTATCTGCGAGCGGCCGACTACGATGAATCAGTAGATGAGCGACCAATCTGGGACGATATCAATCGGGCTGATACAGAAGAAGAGTATCGCAAGGTCTGGCAGACTGGATCGCGAGCTCTGTACTTCGCCCGGTGTGTAGATGACAACGAAACTTGGCTGCCATTGCTTGAAAAGGCTTATGCAAAAGCCCATGGAGATTTCTCAGCCATTGAAGGCGGTTTTGTAGGGTCAGTAATTTTGTTCCCTATCTAAGGATCCTATTGGAAACTGACATTGCGCAGGGAGGCTATTGAAGACTTAACTGGCGGCGTTACTTCCGAGATCTTGTCGAGCAGCATCCTAGACAAAGACAGGTTCTGGGAGGAAGAACTTATGAAAGTGAACAAAGAGTTCCTCTTTGGTTGTGGTACCGGTCTGTTCTCTAACTGGCTGGACCCGAAGTATCGCGGCCCTCCAAGAGACAGGAAGGGTATATCCGAGAACCATTCGTACTCCATTATGGAGGCAAAGGAAATTGATGGAGAGCGCTTGCTTCGTCTAAGGTAATCTATCCGAGATTATGACACTGCATCCCTAGCTGATCAACCTAGGAACCCTTGGGGTAAGAAAGAATGGACTGGCGCATGGAGTGATGGGTCAGAGCAATGGACACCCGAGTGGATGGAAAAACTAGGACATAAATTCGGCAACGATGGTGTATGGTTCCTCGAATCTGACATACTACTGGACGCATGCTAAACAACATATGTCACAGTTCTTCTGGATCTCCTATAACGACCTTCTGAAAAAGTATCAGCACTTCGATCGCACCCGTCTATTTGGGCCTGAATGGTCGATCGCACAACAATGGACTACCGTGAATGTGCCATGGTCTGCCGACTACCACAGCACTAAATTCATGGTGAACGTGACGCAAGCAGGCCCAGTAGTCCTTGTCCTCTCCCAAGTAAGCTCCTGCACCCAGGCTGCATTGGTTCACATGGCTTGCAAGAAACCCCGCTAACATGAAAAAGTTGGACGCGCGCTACTTCAGAGGACTAGCTGGTGAATACGGCTTCGTCCTTAAGTTCCGGGTGCAAAAGGAAGGTGAAGATGACTACATGGTGCGCAGCCAAAGCAGCCACCTGATCAGTCGATCCGTGAACGCAGAAGTCGATCTCGAGCCTGGCCGCTACCATGTACTGATGAAAGTCACGGCGTACAGAAACGGCGAGATGGAATCGACCGAGGAAGCGGTAAGCCGTTTAGCACCGATCAAGCGAGAGAAACTCGTCCAAATCGGTCTCTCCTACGATCTGGCACACGCCAAGGGAATGGTAGCCGAGTCAGAGGATGAGAAGCGGGCACGCGAGGAACTCGAAAATCGTCGCAAGGCAGCAGAGAGACAGAAGCAGATCGAGGCCACCAGGAAAAAGTTGCAAAAAGAATGGATTCGGGAACAGAAGATGACTGCCCGGAAACAGAGAATGACAGAGAGGCTCTCTGCAAGAAACAATAGCAACGCTGTTAGAAACAAAGCCATCGAGCAGATTCTCACTGACGGCCCGGTACAGTCTCCGGTAGAACTGGGCGGCGGTTCAGTTGATGGCTTTGGTACAAAGCATACAAGGAATGGCAGTGTGCCAATCATCCAGTGCAACGGGGTTCATGTTTCCGAAGCCGAGATCATCGGGAAAGGACAGCCAGGACAGTCGACTCTAGACTCCACGTACTCAAGTCTCTCGTCGTACCATGAAGACCTGGACATGTTGGAGGGATTCGAGTTTGATCCTGACCTTGATATGCCCCCTGAAGAGCCAGCAGAGCCGAAGCCTGAACACTTGATATCCAATGGCTGTCTGGAGGAGACCACCAGTGACCCTTGGAATGCCGTATGTGTCGTAGGCTTGCGGGTCTACTCCAAAGATCCACAGTTGTCGCTTGAAGTATTCCGTTCCGTGTCTGAGGGAGACACTGGTGCGGCGCTTGATATGGACGATCCCCTGAAGAGTGCTTCCTTTAGTCGACTGGAAACCAACTAGTTCTATGATCTTGGGTAATCAAAATCGGGATTTTTCTTTGGCGTCTTAGCGACTGATTGCAATGGTGTTTCCCGAGTCGAGCCACCACGTGAATAGATTGTTATTTTAGCTCTTCGACCATTCATTTTTCATCATCATTATCATCATCTCATTGCCATATTTTGCCAGTAATAATTCAATAGCATCAGCAGGTCATGAAACCAGGCGATTAACTTCCCATACCCAAGGACAACTTCTTCAAACCCGTTAAACAAATATAGCGCAAAAGAGGCCCTGCAAAGGCTAGGACAACAAAATGAAAAGAAAAGTAAACAAGCATCATCTGAACGCCCTCTATGATAAGTTGAACCTCGTTAAGATTTCTGGATGTTCCTTGAATTCGGGGCTTTTAACCATATCCTGCATCGGGGCCAAGTCACGTTCCTCAAGTGCACCCGGCTTGCCAGGCTCAGGTTTGGAGCCATCATATACTCCAGCCAGGAAGTGCATGAAGGCTTTCAGGTACTGGACAAGTTTTCCTTCAGGTACATCCCTCAGCACCTCTGACAGGATACCGGGTGCGTAGTAGGGAAGAATGGCGGTACCATCTTCAATGCCATTTACACTCAGTCCGTTCACCAAATCCGTTTTTGTAGAATCTGGCAAAGTCGAAAAAGCAGTCCGAAACTGCTCTGCCTGTGCCCTGGTCTCCACTCGTCCCATACAAAGAAGTCGAAGAAGCGCACGGTCTTCCGAGTTGCTGGTAGATAGTGAAGCGAACCCATCGTGCTTCAGCATATAAGCACGGTAAGCCAGATACTTGTCGTAGCATTCAGGCCAGTCCGGGCTTTCCATCTTGCGATATTGATCCAATAAATTGATCGCCTTCAGATAGTGAAGGAATATCGGTTGCGTCATCACAATGCATCCGCGCGGGTCACTATGCGCAGCAGCCCCTCCCACGTCCAGAAACGTTACCATAGCCTTGATATTGAATGCTTCGTGAAGCTTCTGGCAATCATTCAGAGCAAGCATGCTGTGCGGGACTGTTTCCCCCTGGACTATTTGCGAAATATCAAGTTTCGCGCCGATCCTCAGGCTCTGGATGATATTGTTTTTCCTGACTTGGTCTGTGACGGTTTCCAACGCAGGCACTAACCCCCTCTCCACGGCTTTGAGTAGCACTTCCCCGTGATTCTTTTCCGGGATTGCCACCTCCTCAGCAAGAGCCTTGTCCTTCCCGATATCGTCAATAGCAATTGCAACAATAAGAGCATAGATATCATCTGGTTCATGCAATCGAGAGAGAAAGAACCACCGCAGATCCTTGAAAGAGTCCCACTGGAGCTTGCTGTTATTTTGGCCACTTGTGAACGTCTCATATTCCCCCGCAATGACCCATTTGACGGCCAACATGCTGGTTAGTGTTCGGTTCACTTCGTGGAAATCCTCCCCGAAGATTCTCTGTGATGGTGTCCCCTCCCATTTCTTCGTTGCACCGGATTCCACGGTAGGACTTGCATTCTTTAGATGATTGAGCTCAGTCTTAAAGGCATTTTTTAAGAGATCGAGGAACTGATCATCTGAGATGTCGAAAAACTTGTCCTGTTTAACAACATCAACAAGAGACTCTTGTGGGTCGGCCATACTGAACAATATCTTGAGGCAATCCTCTCTGCATGAATTGGTTTAAAAAAAAAAAATCAAACTGGTTCAGCGCCACGATAAATAGAAGAACGAGCCGGGACGCCTTGGGAGAAGAGGCTGAGCTGATATAGAGGGTCATTGCCCAGCCGGAGGCTAGCGTATTTTTCACAGGCGAATAAACCCTGGGAAGAGGCGCTGCTTAGGGTAACAAGGTTCTAGGAAGATTCCAAGAGCGATCGGCAAGGGGCATGAAAGCCAGAAGAATGCAAGTCCCCTTGTGTGCATACAACGGAGAGTGAGTTACATCATCCCGTTTTATTAAGTCATTCCCCTGGTCCCATCCATGGAACAGGACACTATCACAACACAACGTTCATTATTTCTATTCTGGTATACAACAGTTGCACCCTCCGCCATCCTTTATGGCTTGTTGAAAGTAATACTTGTGTCGAAAGAAAGTTCCCGCGACCGCTCGTTCGGCCCGAACTTCCTTTGTATACGAGACATGGAGCGATGCACTGCGCATCGCTATCCCTTTGCCTGTCACACGACATCTTTCATTCAGTTTTACAAGAGCACGAGGCTCATCTCATCCTCATGTCTCAAGTCATTCAGTTCCCGTGGGTAACAACGGATACATATCCTCAAAGTAAGCAATCCGTAACCCCCAACATCAATGACCCGAGACTAACCAAAGACCCAGTATAACACAACCACCACCCTCACCTCAAAACCATACAAAGTAATCATCCATCTACCACCGGGCTCTTTATTCATGGACTCTAGTCCGGTACCACACCACAAAAACCACCGAAACCGTTTTAATCCAGACACCGCAATCGTAACAATCAATTGCCGTCTAGGTCTGAGAAATTCAATCCCCAGCCCCACGAAAGAACCCGCGCACCACTACCACTATTCAACCCTCAACTGGATCCAGCCTGTGCACGTAGGCACCCTAGGCATCCACATCGGCGGCTCTCTAGAATCAATGCTAGCGCTTACAGAAGCACAGACGATCAATGCAGTAGCAGCGATCGAGCCGGTCCGTGATTGGACGGCGCTAATCGAGTGCTGCGCCCGGTGTTATCAATCAGCATCAACAACCGCAGTTAGTAGTAGTACCGTGGCGAGGGCCTCCCCACAGGATTTGCTCACCTTGCTTGACGCCCGAAAAGGGGTATTTTTAGCTGCTCCAAAGACAATATTTTGATGCGTTCTCATCACCGCTCCTCTCTATATTTCGATCGCCTGGGAAGAATGGACCGGAATTGTTTCCCGAGTATCTTACTAGACTGCGATATCCGGGTCCGGTAGACAACCTGCTGACTCTGGGGGAGTTGTACGATGACGAAGAGGAAATGGCGATGAACGGGCCTTTTCCGAATACGAACTCTCGGGGGCCTCGTACTCAACCTAATTGTGATCGTGGTCCCGGAGCTGAATACCCTCCCGGTTCGTGGCAAGACCCTCTTGACGATGGGCGCCGTGTGGTTTAGATTACTGCGGTAGCCGTGCGAGGCGAGGCGGCTTCCACTTTGCCGCAGTCGATCCACTGAAAAGCTACAAGTGACTTTATTTACCCTGGACATGACTCGTCGTTCGCGAAGATGGGTGATTGTCTCGTGGGTACACACGGTGATCATGAGCCAAGGCAAACTATTCCCTGCGCTCAGTCCTACGCCAACAGGGTCATGGTATAGTCGATATCATGCGTCAGATATGCTTCTGGGGTCACGAGAAGGCTTTGAGAAGCAAATCGCGCAGCGTGAAGTCCCTTCTGAGACGTGGTCTGCCGCTGGACAGAGCAGTGCTATGGGTGGTGGATAGTATGCTGCGGAAGGGGGATCGCGGGACATGCTAACCAACGAACCAACCCAATGATAGTTGAGATCCTGAGAAGTGAGATCAAAGGCGCGCCAAAGAGCGATTGAGACGGTAAAAACAAGATAATAAGAAAGGGAAACGGCAAAAAAGAGATGCGAATGCTCCCACGCGGATTTGAACCGCGGACCTCATGATTACTAGTCATGCGCTCTACCAACTGAGCCATAGGAGCTGTTCTTGAAAGATCTGTTTCTTTAAGCATATACAATCTACTCCCCTTGAGATGGAAATCCTATCACGCGGTCTTAACATCGTGTTTTGTGCAATTCTTACTTGAAGCACAGGCCGCGGCCGAAGAACCACCTTACCCTTATTCTAAAACTCTAGGGACGACCAAGGGAGGAACCAGATTATAGAGGATGTTATAGCACTGATACTGGAAACCCAGAAGATGCGCAGAAATACAATGCGCTTATATACGCCCTGCAACCTATTTGAGATCAAGCACCATGTCGAGAGATATGACAACACGTATTACTTTCTATATTATAATGTCTATAAAGAAGGTCCCGGGAAGGTGTTCCCACCTGGAGTATCCCACCAGGGCTCAATGTCGGAAAGACTAGGCAATGTAGGGTCCTCCCCGAAGGTATTAACGTTACCAAGCTGGGAGAAACTACTATCTCCAAAGTTTCCCGAAAGCAACTGCAAGTCAGAATTGCGAATCCAGTCGAACTCCCCAGGCACCCCGATTTGCTGGGTCGTGTCGAGAGGATGTTGCCCAGAAGGTTGCGGTTGCGGCTGCAGCTGGTTAGGAATGGCGTTAGTACCCTGTGATGTCGCTGTCACAGAGACTGGATAGTTGAGTTGGTTTCTTGGAGCAGTGATTCGTGTCTTCTTCCTGGAAGGATCTGTGTCCGAGCCGATGCCTACTAGATGTTGCGATGATGGTCGGTTGCTTATTTGGCGCTTCAAAGCTGAACCTGACCTGCGCATATGGGCCTGCCACCTTCGTTGTAGACTGACCAGGAAGTCACGGGTCCGTTTGGCATTTTCAAACGACTGGCCCAGTTCGTCCAATGCACGGAAACAAAGATTCAAGTAAGCAACCATTTCTGCATTGTTATTGCTGTTATCGCTGGGACTTCTGCCAGAAGTGTGAGTGTTTGAAATCGTGACGTAAAGGAGCATCAAAGCCGCGCTAAATATGATGGCCACAACTTGGTTGTTCATGCGACGGAATGTATAGAATTTCTCGTAGATATGGAGCAGTCGTGCGATCGCCGTCGAAGATTCAATGCACATTCGCCGAGCATGGTGATAGCCCGGTCCCTGACGAGGAGCGCGCGGCTGGATGTAACTTTTCGAAACCCACGGTCTGTGTGTGAAAATCACAATTTGGTGGTATTGCATACTGCACCCGAGTTAGCTTATGCATTTAAAGATCTTTGTATTCCGGCAGAACGCATAGACCTACTGAAGCATTAGAAGTTGGGGGAGTTGAGGAGTTGTATCGTTATCAAGTTTAATGTCGAGAATAGATGGCAAATTTGCTTTCCAGGCAAACAAGTCATCTGTTACCCTATGGCACAACCTTTGAAGGTCATGCCGAGGGATATCGGAGCAACCATACCTGCACCGCGTTAATACACATGATGAAAACCAATAGCATTATACCATGCTTTCAAGGAATTGTGCACTCACAAAATATGACCAACTGGTGAGATTATCTCCCACAGAACGGCAAATTGTCTGCTGATCAATTCATTTGGATTCCTTAGACCATGCTTCAGGATGTCCGATTTCGATGGAAGTCCATAAGGATACCATGTGCTTTCTTTCTCTGCGCCTAAATTGGACGCAAGCTTCGGGACGGTGATGTCTCCCGCATTCATTCGAAATGGTCTTCCTAGATAAAAGCCCCAGAAACTATAACAATGTCAGACCTTTGAGAAATGACGCTACTGGTCAAGCAAACATACTGATCGGCAGTGTAACTTCCCCAGAAAGCTATTCTCCGCACGTCAGCTTCAAAGGCGCCTATTTCTCCTTTCTCAACATATGGTGTCATGTCAATATGTAATCCAAGGTCAAACGCAAGCCTTGTGGACATCCCTAAACCAGCATCAGCGTTGTATGCCTCCGATTATCAGCATTTCCTACATACCACTATACAGCCACCCACGAGCATCACGATTCGCAGACCCTTCATGGCAACTCAGAATTACAAGCGCCTGTACTGTGGCAACACAGGGAGAGTCCAGCTCAATCTCTAGAAGCGCTTTCGCCCTGTCTGCGAAGAACTCTGACAGAGATTTGGGAAAAGTGATGAATGTGGGATGATATCTTGCTTCAAAAGCACTTCCAATAGCACACCTAACTTCTCGTTAGTCTGCATACCGCCGGGTGTCTAACATGGAACATACATCGCGTTCGTGAGAACCTCCGAATAAAATGGCGTGTCATCATACTCATTCCTCCACTTCGATCTAGCAATCATATACATATCTCTATCGACCACATAGGTGCTTGTATTCTGCCAAGTGAAATACAGCTCCACAAGATGGTCTTCAAGTGCTTGGTCAACGGGCTGTCCAACTCGTAAATGGTTCAGGATATCCTGTCCATCATGGCGGACTGTGCGCGCATCAGGACGTTGGCGTTGTTGGGTCGCAGAAACGTCTACCAGATTGAGGTTCGATGTCGCTCCATAAAAGCGTAAGTGACCATCGCCCGCAATTTTTAGAGTACCAATGCGATTTGAAATTTGCTCGATAACGTCCTTCTCCGCCTCATCTTCGTCGCCGCTGTCTGATTCATACTCTCTATCGTGACGCGCTTGCCTGAGCAGCTCTCCGGGCTGCTGCTGCATATCTGGAGTCAACTGCAGACTTTCTGGACTAAGACTGTTTTCCTGAGAAAGACTAGTACCATCATTTAGATTGGCATAGATCGTGTCCAAGCTCTCCGCCGTTGGAAGTGTAAAACCCCAATTCGCAGGAACATAATGGCTGGTGGGAATCGAGTTGATCCCGAACGAATTTACTGTATCTCGACCTTTCTCAGCTGAAGGGACGAGTTTTTGGTTAGACAACGCATTCTGTGGCGGTGAAGGAATCCCCGGGGCGCGCTCATTTGCATCCGGCATAGCTGAGGGACTGCTGTGCGCGGGTGAATGCGCAACAGCTTTTTGCGGAAGAGAGATTATCTCATTAGCTACGCTAGTTTCTCTTTTCTTCGCTAGCCCGCGAGGGATCTGTAGCGTATCCAAAACTCTATTAACCCCCGCCTCATCCTCAGGTTTCATTGGGGGCGGTTCCAGGCCATGGTCATAAATGAACTGGCACAGTTGATCTATTCTGGCAGAAAATAGCTCTGTGGCAGCACGAAGAGACACCCTGGAGTAAAGCTAGTCAGCGCCTGTCTGCGGTGCGCGAGCATAGATCACAAGCTTTGCCTGCCTTCTCGAGAACGCGAGATCTGCTGTGCTCAAGACACGAAATGTGTTCCAAAATTGACCAGCAGTAGACATAAGATGAGCTGAACATACTTCCGTTTGTCATCGCCGTGTTGGTATTTACAATCTTTGCCTTTCCTCTCACAGTTATGGCAATGCGGAGTAGCTCCGTCGCACTAGTCAAGAGCCGTCAGTTGTTGGATACAATATAGGTCATGTGATGATCGATGAAAGCATCTTGAACATGAGGGCCACCATACCCTGATCTTGCTCTCCCGGCAAGGAACGCATGCCGTAGTGACATGTTTGCGAGGCGCCCTCTTGGGCTTCTCTGTCAGAGGCTCCATCGCACCGGTAGTAGTGTGGCGGGAAGCGTGGGGGAGACGAAATATTCTCCGGTTTTCAGAAGCAACCGGGGCGGCTAATTCACAAAACGAAGAGAAATCATGGGTCAGCCGACATCTACAGAGGATGGCTTAGCAGAATACATGTCCATAGCAAGATTTGTGGGAATGATGAAGTCGCCCAGCATGGCCGCGCAAAAAGCTGTTCGGTCCTTGGTTCCTGGGGAAGTCTGGGAACGATAGGAGCTGATGGCTTCTGACTGGGCGGGGAGTGGCCCCACTTGCACCCCAGAGTTGCCCTATGAGACTCGACGCAACACTCATCACTATCCACCCTGAGGTAAAATTTCCCGCTCTCAGCTGATCCAGTGCAGTGTCTTACGTTCAATAGACATTGAACATGTATACATAATAGTTACACGAACGCTCCCGTTATACGAACATTGATCTACAGAGCTCAACAGCTAGCGTGACATTACCAATTGCTGGTGCGCTTAAGTGCCTCGTTCTGAATCACTTCGATCCAGTATCCATCGGGGTCCAGCACAAAGGCCACGTTCTTCATCCGGCCGTCAGTCAACCGCTTCTTCCAGTTCACCTTCAATGATTCGAAGCGATCACAGGCGGCATTGAGATCGTCAACAGAAACGCCTACCCCAAGTATCGTAGTGTCAGCGGTAAGGGCTCTTCTAGCTCTATGATGACATCGGCAAAGAGAAGGTCACTTACAGATATGGCCGAATCCTTGTGGCTCGGCATTACCATTGTGGTAGACAGGGCCTTCTTGCTTCTCCGTTCCATAGTTCCAGGTGAGCTCGAGCAAACCTTCCCACTCGGCCACGGGATTCTTGGCGTCCTCCTGCACTTTGGCATTACCGGCAGCGTATCCCAAGAAATAAAGATTGAAGCCTGCATCCTTATTCTCAAAGGTTCGCAAAAGGGTCATGCCCATGACTTCTTGGTAGAATTTCAAACTGGTCTCTGCGCACTTCACGCGGAGCATGCTGTGGTTGAGTCGGTAGTTGGCGGTATCGGTCGTCGTACCCACATCCTCGTCCTGACGACGGATAATCTCGACCCAGTAACCATCAGGATCCTTGGCGAAAGCAATGTGCTTCATGCGCCCCTCAGTGAGCTTCTTTTGGAAAGGATAGCCAGCGTCTTCAATTCTCTTGCAGGCCGATTCGATGTTGTCAACAGAGATTGCAATATGACCAAAGCCGCGATGGGGTTCCGTGTTGCCATTGGCTACGCTGTAGTTGGGGTCATTCTCTGTGCCATAGTTGTGGGTGAGCTCCAGAACAGCGTGGCGGTCCGTCCAGTGACGGTCACCCTGCAGAGATTTGGGGCCGTTGTACGCGAGGAAGTAGAGCGAGAACTTGTTTTCGGGGAAATCGAGTTGTTGAATCTGAGTAAGTCCGAGGAACTTGTAGAATTCCACTGGAGTAGAAGATTTCAGTATTCAAGCCAGCAATGACACCATGATGCAAGGATACTCACGGGACTTCTTCGGGTCCTTGACCCGGAGCATAGTGTCTGTTCCGGTAGAGCCATTGTCAGCCTTTCATTCGCATTCCATGGATTGGAAACCGACTAACGATTGAGCTTATACTTGGAAGTATCCGTCGCCATGGTTGCGAGATATCTATTGGTTCCTGTATCGATTTGTAAGTAGCTGAAGACCACCAGTGGGGTAAATCTTAGCCTAAGCTTTGGCATGGTGACCTACCTGATAAGATAGAAAACCTTAGGTTGAGGACCCTGGGAGATGATGTTCGAAAGGAAGGAAGAGCACGAAAAGCAAACATGGGGAGAGGGGTAAGAGGGGGAAGAGAAAAAAATACGTGCGGTGTTACTATTGCTTAGTGAGCGGCGTGAGGGGAGAGAACTTGAAGTGGACAAGGTGGGGACGCCCTATGACGCTATTGCACTCCATTGAGTATGGGTCTTCGTAAGATGGGAACTTATTCAACAAAGTACTTTTAGACTAGAGTATATGAAGAAGAAGTACCAGCGTCTGTTTCTGAATTTATTCACTAAACTTGTGATTTGTCTTCTGGCTGAAGATTGAAAATGAAAAATGATAATGTATAGAATTGCACGTGATTATTACCTATACCTTAGTAGAGAATCTGAGCTACCTAGTAAGTACTAGCACCAATCAATTACTAGAGATTGGATACTGATCAAGCGAATACGGCCCGTAAGTGGCCCAGCGATTTATGCTTTCTATTTACATAGTAGTATTTGGCCAGCTACTAGGTAAGCATTGGGCATCAGGCTCTGAGCCTCTAGATATAGCCTGGCGTATATGCCGGAGGATCGGATTTACAAGAATAAGAGAGTTATAAAATGTCGAATGTTTCTGAGACACGCGTCGAGGCAAGCCCCTGAATACGTTCCCTCGTATAACTTCAAGTCGCAGTCCTCGAGTGGAATGGATGCGAGATCATAGCGCACAATATATAATGCCATCACAAATGAGTATGACTCAACCCGAGTGATACTATTTGATCTTCGCATTGTGGGGCTAAACTCTGTTAATGGTAGGACTCCCCGTGGGATTTGATAGTTAAACATGATGGTATTCGAGGGACACTTTGGATTATATTGACAAATGCTTGTATGTAAATCGAGCTGGAGCCCAAGGGCTATACCGGTTTGGGAGCAAAGGCGGTGGCCTGATAGGGAAGGGGACAATGCCCAATCGGGTGATGACATGGGCGTTCATTCATCCATTCATTCCTCTTGCTTGCTCTTCAGCTTCTAGTACTTAGTAGTATACACACATACCATCCTACCCCTTACTTTCAGCAGTCGAGGTATCTAGATCCAGTCTGCCGCATTTGCCGGCCATAAATTGACCAAATTGCAGCCTCCGATACCTAGTCCAAGTGCTGGTCGAAGTCTTTCTCCATCAAGGTTTGTTCGCTGTTCTTTGTTGATTCCCTCAAACTTCCCCCCCCGAACGATCTTCGTCGGCTTAGATCACACGCGACTGGCGTGGATTCCGTTGCTTGCTTTTTTCTGTGGCCCTGTCCAACTGCACCTCGCATTTTCCCTTGCCTACCCAACCCGTCCTGCATCCCACATGGTTTAATTTCCCCACGTTGTCAGAGATCCATGTTGATCAACTTGTGCCCACAATGGGTTGCGCGGCTTGGGGTCGAGTCATGGAATGGGGGCATCAGTCCATTCCCTGGCTTCATCCTCTCCTGGAACTTAACCACTTTTGTGCCCCTAATCGTGTGGCGCACTATACACCGTCTAAAATTATCTTTACTCCCCGTACATTTTAAAGACTGCCATCCCCGTGCCCTTGCGCTTCTAGACCCTTCTAAGCTGCTTTTGGTTTCACTACTTGTCCTGCTATCCCTAGGCGCAAATGGCTGAGTATCAACTTTCAGTTCGATTTGGTTATTCCTCTAAGGAATCATCTGCTCTCTACGAAGCAGAACGCTGTCCATATTGGGCACAGAGCCCGGTCAAGTACGCCCAAAACCTCTTAGAGTACTCAGACGAGCCGATCGAGTACGATCACCACGACAGTGATTACTCAGACAACTGCTTCTTCTTTCCTGAGGACTGTTCTTGGTCACCGCCTCCCGACTGGATCCTCGAAAACGAAGAATCCGAAGACGATACCTCCAACAGTGAGGACCACGACACCATGATTCCCGGTCTTCCCGATATCAAAATGCTCGACGCGGAGGCCCTCAGCGACTTGCTAGAGGATAACCTCTCGCCCCCGGAAATCACCACGATTCTGTACGGCATATCGTGATCACTTTACCCCCCCAGTATTGTGCTAATGGCTCGTCATCCATGTAGAGTATTTGGTACTAATGGTGCCATATTTGCGTACGCCTCGTCTCTTCCATCCCGGCAGCTGCGAAACTTGAGCGCAACATACGGGGCCGCTTACACAGCCTACGCAAAGAACGCCTCAAGTGGTAACCTGACGGGTGTAAATCCCGCCAGCCACCCATCATCATATGTGACAGCCCAATCTGTCTCTCTCGGCGATGTAGGGTCTATCGTCTTCGAACTCGACGAGCTTGTCGCCGTAGTTACCAGAATAGCGGATAAAGTGCTCCTTGCCGCCGTTGGACCGTCCCAACTGGAGCCCGAAGGAGAGGCAGGCCCTTCAACTGGTGCGCAGAATGGCTCCATGAACCCCAGTGCGGACGAGTTTCCCCTGCATGAGCCTAGAACAGGCGCCAATGGTACTTCCACCAACCAAACTCCCACCAACGGAACCCCCAACAGCATCAGCCGATCTCACAGCGAGGCCAACATGCAATCAGATGCGCAACTTGAAACGCAGTATGAAATCGACCGAAGTAATGACCTCGCACGATTGGCAAGTCTAAACCTTTCATCCTCGCCGTCTATTTTGCTCGCTCTAGAGTCAAAATCTGCAGCGTTAGGCAAATTCCTCAGTCAGAAACTGGAGGATCTTGAGAGTCCCGAGGACTTCTAGGCTTATGGCACCATCGCTATTTTCTTCGTGTAACCTTCAGTTTTCTCAAATTGTTCTATATTACCTTTCTTCATGAGCCTTATGAGCTTCTTGTTATTTAGCCTATGATTCCATGTTTGATCGATACTCCCGTCTTGAAGCGTCTTCTCATTCAATCTTGTGATTTATTAAGGCCGTGTTCCGATTGTGTCTTGACAGAGCAGAAATTGTACCGAGAACTACTCGACTTAGTGGACCCAGCAGGCATTGTTCGACCAATCTATTATTATGAACACATTAAAATTTTTACAGGTATCTAACCTATAGCAATTTGCTAAGTGATTAATAGAGAACGGGAGAACAATAGCGTTTTGAAAAGAAGGTATATCGCTGAATCTCTGTTTCAAGAAGAAAAGATATTATAGCAACCATTATAGACAGAACGTCCAACTTAGTTATATATAGAAAAGTAATAAACTGACTTAGGCCTTGTCGCCGGTAGTGGCGGTTCCGCCCGGAGCAGTATGGAAGTGTCCACTGGCCGTGCTAGCGGTCCGAGACACTGCAGGGGGAGAGATTGGGGATGGAGCCGTTGCCTCACTCGTAGCAGGTTGCGCGGCCTGGGTTGCAATTTGGGGAGCTGTAGCCTCGGCGGGGCTTGTTGCCTCATTTGCCTTTTCACTGTAAGCTGGGGGGTGGGCGACAGCAGGGCTTGCCGGCTGGGAGGATGTGGCGGCAACGGCGGCAGCGGCAGCGGTAGCGGTATGTATCGGGCCACGGGTGCAATCCTTGATGACAGTCCACCATTTCTCGGCGTCGTTGGCGGTATGGGCTTTGAAGCTCAATTCAGTGGTGGTGTGGAAGGCGTTGCCGACTTTGCTGCCCGAGACATCCTTGCCTTTCACGCTAAACTTGACGCCGTCGATCGCGCCAATCACACAGTCGGGAAGGTATAGAGACAGCTCTGGAGCCGGATCGCGGCGGAGGTCGTCGTCATCCTTGAACTCATGGAGGTACCGCGCAGGGGTGACAACGTAGTAGCCAGAGCTATAGCCCTTAAGCATGGCACGGGACTTGCGTTCCAGAGACCCTTCGATCAGTGCCTTGGTCGCACGGTGATCCATGTTGGGAAAAGTGATGTTGGAGAGGGTCCTTGGGGGCGCATCCGGGTTGATAAGGACATCGTCATTCTTCGTGATGAAGTTGAGCCACTCGAAGTCAGGGGGAATTTTCTGAGCGGAACCCAGCATATCCTGATACATAGTACCCTGATTCTCGAGCTGTCCAGACATGATCTGGACGAATTGTTCCACGGCCCCCTGAACGGTCTGCAGAACATGTGCCTCGAACTGCTGGAAGTTATTCTGCACAGCAATGATATCCTTGCGGTTGTTGTTCTCCTCGATAATTTGCTTGTTGAGACGATGGTTGATACCCCGGCGCAAGATGTAAGGGTCATGATGCTGTTCAATCTTATTTCCTGCGGCAGCATCCATAGATGCGGTGTGGTGGGCAAGGAGCTCAATATGCTTCTGGGTGACACCTCGGGCCTTATCCACAGCCTTTGCGCTCTTGGAAGCACCACCGGCAAGCTCCTTCGACTTAGCCTTGATCTCCTTATGAAGGCGCTCCAAGGTTGGAGACACAGTTCCCTTCAGATTCTTCTCCGTCTCGAGGTACATATTCACCATTCCCTGTCAATGTATTAAAAATGAGAGTAAAATTGGGAAAGGCGCAACGGATTATACCTGAGTATTAGCGCGGATGTTCTCAAACATGGAAGCCACTCCACCAGTGTTTTGAGAAAAGTGGTGACCTTCCTTCAGCGGTTCACTGACGGTCTATTGCGGCAAACACTGTTAACTTACTCTGGACGTATAGGTAGATCGATGAATGATTGAAAGGGCGCCTACACACCTTGAGGACTTTTTCATAGTCCTTCGAATGTGACTTCTGTACCTTCGAAGTCACAGTAACATAGTCCTCCAGATAACCACACATATGCTTCAAAGCGCGCAAACGCTCGTTAAGCAGGTTCGTAGTCTACCAAAACTTATACGTTAATATTGTCCACGGATAGAATGACCGTAAGGCATATCTAGGTGTACCTCGCTGCTGTCAGAATCCGGAATGGCCTCATCATCACTCATGGAGGCTCGGCGGGTCGGAGCAATGGAACTCGTGAGGGTTGACGACCGGTGAGGGAGCTTTTGCTCCACGGGACTGGTTGGGGTAGACATGGTGGTGGGGTGAATGTGCGATGCGCGATGTCTGCAGAAGTTGTGCGACAGAACAATTCCGGATCAATAATGGAAGTAACTATCGCTGTGAAGG